TGTAGTGAGCTCAATGGGTAGTTTTTGTTAGGATTCTAGAGCCGTTAGCATTCAGGAGTGTTGAGTGTGGTGAAACCAGCCCCCATCATTATGGTCTGCACTAAAAGGAATATTAAAATTTAAAACTATGAAGTGCTCAAGACGCTGGGGAAGGGCGCCCATGCCAAGCTCGCCCGGCACAAGCTGACAGGCACACTGGTGGCTATAAAGATCATCAAGCGCAAGAGCTTCAAACACAAGAGCTTCGTGTCGCTGGAGCAGGAGGTGCTCAGCTTGAAGGTGCTCAGCCACCCGCCCATTGTCCAGCTCTTCCAGGTAGTGGAAAGAAGAAGCAATCTGGTGCTGGTAATGGAATATATGGAGGGCGGTGATCTGTTGAGCTACCTGCAGAGCACGGGCGCCTGTAGGAGAGTGAAGCCCGGAGAAAGTTCTGCCAGATTCCTGTCGGCGCTACACCACTGCCATACCAAGGGCATTGTGCACCGGGATCTGAAGCCTGGCAACCTGTTGTTGGATCATCAGGGGAACATTAAGCTGACAGATTTCGGGCTCAGCATGCAGTTCTCTGACCAACTGCTCACAACATACTGTGGCACCCAGGAGTACGCTGCCCCTGAGATGTACCTTCACCGGCCTTACCATGACCCTGGAGCAGACATTTGGAGCCTCGGGGTTGTGTTGTATCAGATGGTGACTGCATCACTGCCGTTCTTGGGTAAGAACTTCTGGGAGCTTGGGGAACATATAGTAAGTGGCAATTTTTACATGCCCGACTACCTGTCTGCCCAGTGCCAAGACCTATTAAGCAGGATGATGGTGCTTGACCCCCAGAAACGGGCAAACATGGACACCATCATTGACCATCCCTGGGCGAAAAAGAGTAAGGGACTCCTGTCTCTCAGAGAGCACTCTCACGACCACGTTGACCTGGCCATGATAGAGCACATGGTGACTCTTGGGTTTAAATGGGATCAGGTGCACAGAGCGGTGGCTGAGCAGAGGTATGGTTACATCATGGGCATCTACTTAATACTGTGCTCCACAAAGCAGGAGGAAGAGGAGAAGGTGCGGGGACAAGCCATCTTGGGGGAGCGCTTCCATCCCTCTGGGTCTGATTGTGTCGGTCCTTCCAGGGAATGCAACTTTCAGCCCGGCCTTTCTGGAAAAAAAAAAAAAAAAACTCTAAAAAAAAAAACTCTTAAAAAAAAAAACCTCTGTGTCATGTGGACACAATTCTTCAAACAGAAGGAACAGGCCAGAATAGTCATGTCAGGACCAGAGCACAAGACCAGCTCCGTTCCAGTCCCTGAATTGGAATATCCCAAAGAAAACAAGTCCCCCTCTGTTCCAGTCCCTGAGCTGGATGAACAAGAGGAGCACAAGATCATGTCTGTGCCAAGCCTGGGGCTGGAGGTCCCCAGAGAGCCCAAGACAACCTCTAAGCCAGTGACCCAGTTGGAGCCCAGGGAACACGAGAGCCCTTCCTTGCCATCCGCCAAGCTGAAGGACTTCAGGGAGCATGAGAACACCTCCATGCTGGCCCCCCAATTGAAGGACCTAAATAAGCACAGAACTACTTCCATGCCAGCCACGCATCAGGATGAACCCGGTGCTCCTTTGACCACCTCCGTTCCAGTTTCTCAGGTGCAGAAACCCGTGGAATCCAGGACATCTATGCCAGCACTCCAAATAGAGGACTTCGGGTTGCAAGAGACCACCTCTGTGCCATCTGCCCTGCTGGCGTTTCCTGGGGAGTTTGAGAACACCTCCTTGCCAACTGCCCAAATGGAGGATCCCTGGGAGCCCGGGACTACCTCTGAGAGAGGCCTTCAGCTGGAGGACAACAGGGAGCCTGACACTACCTCTGAGACAGGCCCCCAACTAGAAGACAATGGGGAGCCTGACGCTACCTCTGAGACAGGACCCAAACTGGATGACCGTGGGGAGTCTGAGACTAGATCTGAGACAAGTCCCCCGCTGGCGGACCACGGGGAGCCCAACACTAACTCTGAACCAGGCGGTCAGCTTGAGGACCCCGGAGAACCTGAAACTACCTCTGTGACAGTCCCGCACCTGGATGACCATGGGGAGCCCAAGACTACCTCTGAGACAGGTCCCCAGCTGGAGTATGTGGACCATGAAATAACACCTGTGCCAAGGCCCCAGCCAGAGTTCCCTCCAATGCATGGGGTCACCTCTCTGCCAGCACTCCAGCTACAGGTACCCGAGGAGCACAAGTCAATCTCTGTTCCGTGCCCCCACCTTGAGGACCTTCAGGAGAACATGACCACCTCCAGTCCAGCGTCCCAGCTGGAGGGGCATGTAGACACTAAAATCAAAACCTGCAGCCCAGTCCCCCAGGTCCCCAGGATGACCCAGGCACCTGCCCCACAACATGACTGGCTCCACATCTTCCGGAGTAATACAGTAACTCCGGAGAGCAGAGAACAGCGTGCTGTTGCTGCTGCATCCATAGTGAAGCCACCTAGTGGCCTTGGTGAACTGAAGCAGAGCAGCAGGATGGTGCCTGGAGAGGGGACAGGTGCTGTGCAGAAGAGGGTCCAGTGTGCAGGAAAAGGGTGCTCCTCAGCCTAGAGAAGGAACACACTACCCGCAGGTGACAGATCACCCCAGAAAACCGAACATTCAAGGGGCTGATGCCGAAAGGCCCACCTTGGACACCGTGGCAAACAGCAGTGTCCCTGTCTCTTGCTTTTGTCCTGAATACCTGGCTTCTGCTTCGTAAACTTTTCCAACACTACTCACTTCTGGCGTGCTAGCCGCGTCGTGGTCCAAGTGTCAAGATGTGTCCATGCTCTGCCTAACCCGATGGCCAACCACTCAGTGGGGCAGAGAATCGCGGTGGCCTTAAAAGGAACTGAGCCTTTGGGAAGGCCAGTAGCTGAGTGGGACAATTCAGTCTCAGAGTAGGTAGCCAGGGCAGCCTGGTTGGGAATCTGAGCTGGGGGTGGTGTCTCTGTCTCCCACTAGGGTCTCACTTAGAAGAAGACATGGCAGAAGGAATAGTGACCAGCATCGCCTTTCACTGGGCTTGGTGCCACAGGCAGGAGCTGGCACCACATAGCAGAACACGGACACTGGGTAAGCCGCCAACATCCCCACCTCACCCAACTAGGCTTGGCCTTGGAGCTCAGGATTCTCTCATTGGCCTCTTCCTCTAGATCGAATTTACAAAATATTGCCCTGAGAACAGCTACTGCTTTTTAGAGTAGGGACCCCAGGTGATCACATCGCCTTCCCTGTGGAGCTGGTCCCTCCAAAAACTGTTGGTGCTTGAACTTTCGGCAGGACTATGGTAAAACAAGGAGGTCACAGGCCTCTTCCCTGCTCCAGTTGGCCTTCTCTTTAATCATCTTCCAGAGAACCTGACATTATGGACTTTCGCGAACCAGCGCAGGACTTTCTTCCTGATATCTGCCCACCTGCTGAATCCGTCTGCAGAGGGAGGCAGTTAACATTGTCACTGTCCTACCTGTGAGGACATCTCTCTGAGGATCCCTGAGTGAGTTTTTCAGCTTCCTGTGGTGTTTCCACCCAGGCCTGTGGGGCAGCACTCAGTGTCCTGATTTTCCTTCTGTGTCTGCCTGTCAGAGCACCCATTTGTGCCTCTGGAACAGGCTCTGGCAGATTAGCACCTCTGCTGAATCCAGACCCAGAGGAACTGGGGTGAAGCAATTTCTGAGCTGGAATGGCTGAGGGGTCCAGCCCTACTGGTGAGTAACCAAGGCCATGCCACGCTGTGTGCAGGTGGGGCTGGGACACACTGTGTCAGTCCGAACCTGGGCTGGTTGGTGGGAACATCTGAGACAGACGTGCAGTTTCATTGTGCACATTGGTCTGTCCTGATGAACAGGCTGAGACCACCTTCCTGTGCTGGGAGCAGCATCAAGATGCCACCATGGCAGGTGTTTTCCAGCTGGATGAACCTGAAATATCTTAGGCCTGACCAGGTACAAACTCTCAGCTCATTGTGCTGCTGCCAGCTGCCCCCAACTTGGAGAGACCCACACCCCAGCACTGCCTGCTCCAACCCTGCACCGCTCCTTCTCTGTGCCCAGAGTCAGGCCATTTCTGGTTTCTCACTCCAGTGGGCCTGCATAACCCAGGTCTGACTAACACCCTGCACCCTTGTACCACCCCGTGCCCTTGTGCCGCCCCGGCTCTGATGTCACCCTACAACCCTGGTTCACCACAATATTGGCGCTGCCCACAACCCTTTTATTGATCCCAGCACCACCCCAACTTTGTGTCCACAGTGTGGCATTTCGGGTTCTTCACCGAGTGGCCCAAGTACCTGGGCCTGGCTTCCTTAGGACCACTTTGCTGATAACCTGAGTTGCTACAGGTGAGATTTCCTTGTTTTTAAGGCTGGGAGTATTTATTCACTATGTTTCCACCCTCATATGATAACTAGGGAGGATGTGGTGTGCCCCCATGTCTGAGGTACTGTGGGCTGTGGGGTGCAATGACCCTGGGGTGCTCTGAGTGTGGGGTGGATTGGCCCTGGTGTCTCTGGTATGGGGTGTTTTGTGGACCTGAGGTGCTCCGTGTCTTGGGATGCTCCAAACCTGGTGTGTTCTAGGAAGGTGCTAGGTGGGATTCTACAGCCCTCTGCTGTTCCCACTCTGGGGCTCTTGTGACAGGAGGGGGATTCTTGCAATACAATGGCCTGGCTCTTTAGTCATGTGCACAGAGCCTGACTGCCAGATCATGGGGTGCTTTGAGGCTTCATTTCTGAAAGCCTTAGCTGCTCTCCGAAGTTCCTAACATCTCACAGTGGCAAGGGAGAAGCCGCCCCTGCCACTGTCCTCCTAGTCACTCATTGCTCTCAGCCATTTTGGGGCCACCTGGGATCCTTCAGGTCTGGTCCCCATTTCCTGGGAGTGGGTGGTGTCTAGGCTTCTGTGGAACTCTTGGAAGTATCCAGGGTCCTGGGAGTGATTTCATTTCTCTATGCCTGAACTTGAAGAAGTCTTTGGCAGGAGGTCCCTCTAGCTTGTGCTGTGACTCTAGCTTCTGCACGGACTCTCAGGACATTGGCAGCCTTTCCACTCGCTTGATGTACCCTGCCTTGGCATGCATGATCTGACACGCCTCTGTGAAGAATTTGCATTCTAGCTCAAACCCCTGTGAATGAGGCTGCCCCGGATGGCTTCTGCTGTGTTTCTCAGGATTTTCTAGGTCACAGGATGATGCTTGACTCTGGCCAACTTAGATCTGTCCATGTGTGCTTTAACATAAATAGGTAACCACCCGTGCCATGCTTTAAGTGCCAGACAATGTGTTTGGAGAGGTTTCTCTCAGCTTCCTTTACAATTGTGAGCAAATTGAAACCATGTAGCATTCCCTATAGGAGAATGATTACTACACTAACAGGATAGGGCCTGCCTGGAGGCCTCGGGGTGAGTCTCAGGCTGTCACCACTGAAACTTGAGTCCACGACTGGACAGGGTACAGTGGAACACTTCTTGTTGCTCCCTCAGCGGTAAATCTATGTGCACTGCTCCCCACTCTGTCTCTGGAACCAACTTATATCCATACTTCTGGCCTACATCCCATTTCTTCCATATAAAATAAATAAAAATTATGCACTGACTAGTTACAGACAATTGTGTAACTGCTCTGACAGGTCTTCTCTGTGTGCGATGCTCAGACTATCAAATCACGTAAAAGGTGTGAAATCCGGAGTCTGAACCCTGTGAATGCCCACAGATGCCATCCTTCCTTTTTGTTGTCTTAGGCATAAGGTGAAAATTAGATGCCTAAATCATCAAAAATGGTCTTTACCCAGGTGCAAGAGAGTAACTTGACACTATTCTCTCTTCAGAATGATTCCAGATCATGGAAATGAGGAGAGTCAGAACCTTAGGGAGCAAGGTCTGTTGAAATAATGTGGCGGGCTGGTGAGTGGTGCAGGTGGCCATGTTCCAAGCCCTGGGGTCGAGAGCAGGGTGTCCATGGCGGAATGAGGGTGCCCGTTGGAGGGGCACGGCTCCTCGGGGGAGAATCTATAAAGAAAGCAGCATAAATGAGCCCCAGCTCTGCCCAGTTTGTTTTCAGATGGACTTTGGAGTCTCCTAGGAATCAACTGTCCTGTGATACGAGGGCTCAGCCAATGACCACCGGATTCAACCCTGAGGACTCAAAATGCATGTTTCTCTTTTCAGCCTGTGACATTAGTTGGCAGGTGTCTGCCAAACAGAGTGAAAATTGGGTATGTATTTGTGAAGGACAGAGGAGAGGAAGGTGGGGACTTCAGTGTTGGCTGTGGGGCAAGGCCGTGATATGCATGGGCACTCTGAACCCTGGACTAGTCATCATTGGGGGTGAATGAAGAGGGGGTTCTTTATTGTGTGGGGTCTTTTTATTTTAGTGACATTTGCCTTTGGTTAACACAAAGGGTTATTTAAAAGGCAACAGTAAAAAAAAAGTGTTAAAAGTGGAGAAAAACAGAAAAAAAGTTCTAGGTATGTCTTTTACTGGAGGATTTACCACTTAAAACTGCAACAGTTTTCCTGCCAGCGGTCACTGGAGGCAGGTGCTGTACGGGCCTCCACACTGTAGAGAGCAGGAGTCATAGCGTGCTGGGGGAGAGCCTGTAGCTTTCGACCCAGAGCACAATCAAGGCTGGAGAGCTGGTGCAGGTCTGAGTACTTTGGGGTGCCCACGGAGGTGGGCATAGGATGGAGGCTGATGGCATCATGAGGAGTAAGGAGGCCTGGGGGAGGGTTCAAGGGAGGAAAGGGAGGGAGAATAAGAATGGAAGGGAAGCTAAGAGAGAGAAGGTGGGGTGCCCCCTGAGGAACATAAATAGGAGTTACAGGGAAAGGGTCGCCTCTAACAGACCTCACATCCTTGTCCAGAGTGGAATGAGGAGAGCAGCTCGTGTACAAGGAAGGCAGTCTGAGCGCCACCAGCAACAACCTCTGGAGACAAAGACACAGGACATGCCCCAGTGACCCTCTCTGCCCTCTACTCTGCTCAGAACTCCACATGGCACAGATGTTTGGATTGGTGTGAAATTGCAGAGCTGCATTTCACTTGGATCTGTCTGTGTAGTAAGTATATGGGCCCAGGAGCTAGTCTCCCCCGGTCTCCCCAGACTCTCAAAATGTGCATGCTCAGCAGCTTCTCTTCCCAGGTCTCCTGGGGTGATCAGGAGGTGCCATTACTCACATCAGTGAAGTGTCAGAGGTCAGCCTGCTTTGGGGTCGCACATCCAGTAGCCCCTGCACCCAGCAGATGCCACCACTTCTTTCAATCACTACTGAGCACACAGGCTTCTGCCCTTGGCTTAGGGAGAACCAGATTCTCCTGTGCAGCAGCGATCAAACCGGCATTGGGAGTAGCGTGGTCCCAGGGAGGGAAACCAAGGGTCACGTTCCTGGCTTACTGTGCCCTCCTTCTTGCAGGTGCTTGTCAGCATTGTGGCCAGTGGGACCCAGACCTCCCCAGCTGCTGGGAATCAAGGGGAGGGCCCAGGGACATCTAGAGTTTCTTTCAGGCTGTAGTTAGTGTCCCCTGTTGCACCTGTGCGACCCCACACCAGACCATGGTTCTTCATTCTGCACCGA